TTATATGGTGAAATGATGTGCTGGTGTTAAAGGTAACATTACACAATGTCCATAATATCGTGTACTACTAATATACTTGATTCTTGTATTAAATAACGAGGCACCATTACATTTTGTGCATCTACAGTTTTTAAGTTACCATTCGCAGCTCAAGAATTACTATGAATTTCTTCGCTAGAGGTCGCTTGCATAAACAGAGATCGTTATTTTAAAAAAAAGAAAACTACTTTTCATTGCTGTTAAATTTAAAAGATGAAATCTAAATACTTACTATATGAAATTGAACATTCATCGCAAAAAGTTGCATACAATTTGTGAATTAGAAATTCTCAAGATATGATATTGAAATTTCAACAACCTCTGTGTAATTTAAAACACACGTTGTAAAACGTCGGCATAGAAAATAGAACTTTAAACCACCACTATATAAATCAACATTTAAAATCTAATACCTATCTAGAAAATTGAACTTTAAGGACATGCAAAGGCCCGGCCATAGGATGTGCGGGGCTCAAGGCAGCAAGCAATGAGCGTAAATAATTGCATTGCGGAGAATTGCGGGCCAAAAGGCCGTTGCCTCGTTCGTCTTGCCCTAGGTCTGGGCCAGAATATGCATTTTGATCCAACACGTGATATCGGATTTCAAGAAATTTCAACTGCAACTTTCTCATTGGACCAGCTTTTGTCCTTTATGGCTACTCTTACGTATCCATTCATTTCCGCGCTGAGCCCTTTCTTCGTGTATATTTCCTATTCATTTGAAATTCTGTTAACTATAGCAGTGGTCCCCAACCTTTTAGTCACCACGGACCGGTCAACGTTTGATAATTTTACCGCGGCCCACTGAGGGAGAGGGGACGTTGGTTGTTTATATTTTAGATTGTTCTGATTTAATATTTTTAATTTAATTGTATTTAAACATGACTTCAAAAAAATACAGTTACACCAAAAATGAATATAAATAAATATAAATATAACTGAATATAAAGTGAATATAAGCCCAAGAGAAATACACAACAGTAAATAAAATGGAAATAATTTAATATACCTTGGGCAGCCCGGTGCCATTTGATCCACGGACCGGTAATGGTTCGTGGCCCAGGTGTTGGGGACCACGGAACTACAGTATAATGTTCAAACTTGGAAATTAGTTACTGGATTCTCTATGTCACGATTTATTTAAGAGAAACTGCATCATGTTGTCGACAGAGTTGTAAAATGTACATTCATCATGAACCTAGTTACAGAAAAATTGTGAGTTGGCAAACGCCAAACTGCGGAGAATTCGTTATCAGACAAACCGAATCGTTAGCAAGGTTTTCGTTTTGCTATCGTTACAATATGCCAGACAAGAGGTGTCACTCACTGCAACAGTGGGGTCAACAAACTTGATGGTTTGTATTAAGTCACAAATCTTGTGACTGTTAGCCATCATTTTTGGACTGTAGAACAAGTAAGCAATGCATTTTGTTATCCATTTACATTAGTAAATGTTAATAATTATGAACTCTTATATTCGTACTTCAGGATCAAACTAGTGTGTGTATATGTGCGTGTGTATGTGTGTATATATATATATATATATATATATATATATATATATATATATATATATATATATATATATATATATATATATATTATCAGAAATTTTATATTCAAGTTTCAAATCCTTCCTTATTCTTTATTTGCGAGACTGTTCAATATAATCTGTAATGTGTTGATGGGCTGTTACACCAAAACTCAAATACAATTCAGTAAGAGCAAAATTATAAGGGCTTAATATCAAATCAACAAACCCATTATAGATAAGAAGACGTGCTCGTCATTACAAAGAAAAAAATAAAACATAATACACTGAAAGTAGTAACCCCGAAATATTTTCAAAATATCAGTAAATGTTCTGCCTCCTGTAATAATATAAAAGCAGTAATTAATAACCAAACAAATCTCTGTATAAAAAAGCAGACATTTGTTTTCTTGCTCAAAGAACTGTAGAAAATTTTCTGGTAATGTTAGCGTCCTTTTGTAAACGAAATACCGCCTGCTTCTTTCAACCTAGCATTACTGATATTTGGACAGGAATCAAAACGTTTAATCGGATTTGAAGGGAAAAAAAGTCCTATTATCAAATACGGTAACGCATACAATTTATATATACTGTGTTTATATATATATATATATATATATATATATATATATATATATATATATATATATATATATATATATATATATATATATATATATATATATATATATATACCAGACAGAACAGACTGTGCTATCCCTGGATCCTGGATTCTGTAGTAGAATCTTGATAATAGTGGGAAGATATAATAGTCTAATACAAACATTACTATCATACAGGTTTGAGAAATTAAATTCGTACTCTACCTAGTTTCGAACCCAGGTCCGCGAGAAAATTGCACCCATCGCATTGCCTGCACGCACCAACCCATAAGTTTAAATCAACACCGATTTGTACTACAAAACTATGAGGTTCTGCAGCAGAAAGAAACCCTGGTCCAACACGAAAGTTGCAGTTGAAATTTCGTTGACGTATTTCGCAAAATCCAATATCACGTGTTGGATCAAATTTCATGCCCTTAAAGTTCCATATTCCAAATTGATATTTTAAATTTTATGTGTGGAATAATACAATGAGGGTTGAACGTTCTTTTTCCTATGTCGACGTTTTACAGTGTCTATTTTGATTTACACAGTGGTGGTTGAAATTTCAATATCATATGTCGAGAATCCCTAATTCACACGTTGTATGTAACTATTTGTGGTGAAAAGTTCCATTTCATATGGCGAATAGTTAGATTTCACCTGCTGATTTTCACAGCAACGAGAAGCGGCCACCTTGTTTAAAAATGATGCGGTCCGTTCATGCAAGCGACTTCTAGCGAAGAAATTCATAGTAATTCTTTACCTGCGATGGTAACTTCCAAAATGTAAATGCACAAAATATAACGCAGCCTCATAATTGAATAAACGAATGATGTATCTTAATACTCGATATTATTTTGAATTGTGAACGTAGACATTGTGTAATGTTACTTTTAACACCAACACATCATTTCACCGTAAAAAAATAAAAATTCTGACAAGCACAATAAAATACCCAACTTCCGCTGTGTAATTCAACAGATACAATCTAAAAACATAACATACGAAATGGAACTTTCAGCAACCGCAATGAATTCTCGACGTACGACATTGAAATTGCAACTACCGCCGTGTAATTCAAACGACACAATCTAAAAACTCGACGTAGAAAATATAAATTTTCTACTACTACTGTTAAATTGAACAGATACAATCTAAAATCTCGACCTAGAAAATGGGAGTTTATGGACAAGCATTTTGATACAACACGTGCAATCGGAATTCTGAACATATTACAATTTCCACGGCAAGGTTCTGACTGGACCATATTTTGTCCTCTACCAATCCTCATACAAAACTGTGAAGTTGAGGATATTTGTCGAGGTATTTTGTGCGCATGCGTTTGAAAAGTTAGGAAATGTATAGGCACGATAGTTGCAGAAACTGTGTGTTCATTGGATTTACCGGAAATTTTACACAAGCTCTGTATGTAATTTGTGTTCTGATAATATCACAATCCAATAACATGCATCAGCGGAATTTTCTTCCCGACGTAGAAAGCATCAAATAGTTTGAATGCAACAAATTAAGTCTTGTTCCAAACGAAAATAATCGTGAAACTGTAAAGTTGCTTAATTTGTACAGTAGGTCAATTTTTTATGGCCAGGTCTTTTTCTTTTCTTTTATAACTGACTACACGTTTACGTTGGGTTGCTGTTGTTGTTGTTGTTGTTGTTGTTGTTCTGGGGCTTAACGCCATTTCTCAGCACACGATAGGCTATACATGGCGGCCAGTATTAATGATGGAGGAAAAAAACGGGAAATCCGCGGGAAGAACCACCGACACACGAGAAGCTACTGGTAAGCTTTCTCACATATCCACATTCGCCGAATCTTAGAATTGTTGGGTTTTATTCTTGCTATTTTTATATGACTGTTGACTGTGATGTTAGTTTGTACTGTGTTGGTTTATTGGAATTGGGGTGCTTTGTTGGTTGATTTTTTTTATAGATAATTATTATGGTATATCTTGTTTTATTTTATCGTATCTTAAATTATTTTATCTTGTCTTAATCAAATTACTGCTCTTTTCAGAAGTGTTGTTGTTGTTGTTATTGTTGTTGTTGTAGGGTTTAACGCCATTTTCCAACACAAGATAGACTATACATGGCGACCAGTATTAATGGTGGATGAAGAACCCGGGAAAACCCCGAGAAGATCCACCGACCCACAAGAAGGTACTCTTCTCGGACGTGAATATCATCGTTCTTAACTTATTACGTTATCGAAAATAACCCTTTGAAAATGATGTTAACTGTGATTTCCAAGGATATTTAGCTTTTCTCAGTGCATATCCGGTTTCCGCTATTATTATTAAATTAGATATCTGTTTCCTTAAAAAAGTAAAAGCAAGATTTTCTTGTCCGTGATGTGATAAAGGTGCTGAAAGAGATTAAGCTATATTCTTAAACTGTGTACTAATATAGTCAATGATAGGATCGATATAAAAAAAATATTAAAAACCCATAAATCGGTTGAGACGGCGATGCTTAGATTGAGGCAAGTCATTCAGATATAATCCTTTCTCATTTTCTAAGGAGTGGATTATACATAATTTTTCAAGCAAGTGATATTCCTGTCTTCCCTTTCCACTAACATTTTTACTGGAAACAGCCATTGTAATTAATAATTATAAATATGCAAAATGGAGAAGATCTAAAAATTATAGACTTCAAAGAAATATAAATTAATTACATGGCCTTTCAAATATTTTATTCCACAGCCATCGTCATCTGCAAAATGCAAAGTTCGGTAGTCGCATACCGTTTTAGTCTTGTTTCTTCTAGTAAAATGTCTCCTGAACCCACCATATATTCCTTTCGCAGGACCGATCAGGTGGCCTAGTGGTTAGAGCATCCGCCTTGAATGCGGGAGGTCGCGGGTTCAAACCCAGGCCGAGTCATACCAAAAACATAAAAATAGTACTAATAGCTGCCTCGCTTGACGCTCAGCATTAAGAAGTTAGTGGCTGATCTGGTCGGCTTGGTAATGCGACTGGATGAGATATTATGCTACATGTCTGCAGCAAGATGCCTCAGTGCTAGACATCATTGTAAACCGTCAAACTGAAGATATCGCAGCGATGAGACTGAAACATTTTTTAAGGCTACGTTAAAAATCCAAATGACACACACACACATACACATTGTTCACAGGAACATAATAATGATCGGCTCTTTTGTTAGAAAAATGTGAATGTGGGAAACATGATGCTACATGTCTGGGCTGTACTGACGCAGTGTTAGACATCACATTAAAAGGGCACTGCAGACATAGTAGCGATTGGACTACAATTTTTAAAGCTTCAGCGCTACATTAGAGATCTAACACACACACATACATACACAAACACATACGCACATACATGTTTCTAGTATATAATTGTAATGCAGACATGTCGGAATTTCCTTGTTATTGACCTTTTTTCTATGTATGTTTCAGAGTAGAATATTGGATTACTTCAGCCTGGAAGTCAGGACTGCTGATTCAGCTTTTTCGTTATCGAGAGACGAATGAAATTAAAATGCAGGTAAGCAGAATATATGCTTCAAGAGCCATTATAAAACGTCCATCATCAGAAATCCAGGTGTCTAATGTATATCCATGCTAGCCAACATTTTAAAATTTTCCACTAAACTCAGACCAAAGTTTTACGTAGAAAAGTTGCAGATAATTTTGCGAGGGAAATTACATTACACATTTTTGCAAGTTATAATGGTCCTATTAAAATAAATCCAAACACGGTCATCCTACATTCCTTGCATTGCTATTTTAATACGTTTTGAAAATTTCCGGCACAGGAAATTGCCGGTACAGAGTTTGTGGCAGTGCTTTGCAAATTACTGGAATAAATGATCCATTGCATTCAACATATCTGATTGGATGTTTTCTAGCCTAGAGGTATTTGGGAATATTCATCAGTTATCTTCACGGGCAGTTACAAACAGGCACGACGCCATGCCTTCCTGTGTTAAGTAATCAGGTTACTGATGGTGAAATTTGTCGTGAATTTTATCTTTGATAATAAATAAAGTCAGACGATGAATTAAATTCAGACGTACTTGTTTACTTCTTGAGAAGCACGAGAAGAGTGCTGATAGTTTCTGCCAACAGGAACGTGACTTTCCTGTTTTGACTGGAGGTGAGTGCTAACACCGCTCTTTCAGCGTATCTATGGAAACAATGGTTAATTGGAACCGACCGCTCCTCATTACACGACAACAGCATGCAGAAAACAAAATGTTCAATTAAAAGGGATTCCTGTGGCATTGTTGCTTTTTTTATTTGTACACCATTACATAATTACAAGATATTAGGTGAAAAGATAGATCAAAGGTGCCTCATCTTAGAATAGTTTACAATACAGTCAGTTGTGGTAACGCTCTATTTCAAATAAACACGTGCAATCTCTCTCTCTCTCACACACACACGCGCGCGCACGCACGCACGCACAAACGCACGCACACACACGATACACATACTTGCTTTCATGGTCCTAAGCACTGAAATTATAGTGCCTCTCCCTCTTCAAATTAATAAAAAGTCAAACAAAGTCAAAAGCTAACAGGCGGGAAAATACAAGCGTTGCCATTATTCCAGATCAAAAATACTCGTACATGCAGATCAAAATGGTCATATATAATTTATTCATTGCTGTCATCAACAAATAATTTGAATTTATTCGGGTGTACATATTGGATTGGCGCTATAAGTACGTGCTTTGTGTGCTTAATTAATGTTCCGGCCTTGCTTGCACCTAGGACGTTTATGTCTTGTCGTATTCTATATTACCTTACTTTAGAGTTATCTCGCTTGTTAAAGGTTTGTCTTATTTGCAGATTTGTTCACAGCAAAATCTTGCTCATATCTTCCACTTCTCTAGACTGAGCCTCCACTTCTCTTTTAACCATCAAGATGTCAGAGAAGACATTGTACATGTTCCCTCCCGGGGGTGGGGGGTTAATGCAAAACCGTGCGAGGTTTGTAGAGCAATTCGGTACATATATCATTTTAAAGCTTAACTACATAAGGAATCACACAATGTTGTTTTTCTATCTCAAACTAAACGTCACTAAACGAGGTGAAATTTAAGGCTCCTCCCCACCTAATGCATACTTATCTCACTGTTCAATAAATTGTCAGAATGTTCGATGTGATGTTTCGGTGGGATTTATTTCTTAATTTTTATTTAAAAAATAAGAGTCATATTGTTGGATAGACAAGTCCACATTACCTGAACAAGTATAGTTCACTAACTGTAATACTGTACGTATAAAAGTGCATTGGACATTTGTTCACTCATGTCTGGACTTAAAACCACCACCATCTCCATGCCCCAAAATATTCTATATTATCTGGAAATTACAGGTGAAGGCATGCTCAGGTAATATTTTGCTGTGGGTGGTTGACACAAATAACGTATTAACTTTTTGCTGCAAGTCTTTAGAAAAATATTAGATATCAAATATTTGGCTAGGCATCTGCGTATATAAGGTATAATAGTTTCACACAGTGTGTATAGAACAGCCGGTAACAACATGTACCACCAATATACGTCGCTGAACAGCATTTAATTAAGCGCTCTGCCAGTCATTACAGGTGTAACATTTCGATCCACTATGTCTTCTATAAGCACTGGAGTCTCTAAGAAAATCTGTAGGTAAAAAGAGTGACACATTTTTAAAAAAAATGTGGAGAAAATTTTAAGAAGAAGCTAATTTTTTTATTAAAAAAGGTAAAGTTTACGGTCATAGCGAATAATTTAAGATTTATTACTATGCATTTAACTGATTTCAGTATCATTGACTTTGTATCGACTGCGTCTGTTAATTTTATCTTTGTCTTCGAACCAAAAGGATATAATCAGAAGGGTGTGACGAAGAAAGGGACTTATTACTCCTATGGTGATAGTGCAGGCATTCCTTGGATTTTATTCTTTACGCCATTGAATATTCTACTACAGTTATATATATATATATATATATATATATATATCTATATATATATATATATATATATATATATATATATATATATATATATATATATATATATATAAGCCATCAAATTTGACGCATATTATAAGTATATAACTTCCTAGTTAAGGATTAATAATCTCCAATTTTTAATGATTTTCGCCTACTACATCACAGATGCAAGGAGTTTTTGAAATATTCGACAACGGTAATTTTACTGTAAATATGCAAAGTTCGTATTCTGTGCAATAAGAGCAGGCGATAGGATTAATACTTGAAAAGCTGGACAGAAATTCATGTTGACCTGTCTTGAATATTTTTATTAAATCGCAAAGCATGTACTTGATATTTTGACATGCCAGCTAGTGTGGGACGTTTGGACATGCCAGCGAGCTTTGGCCATTTTGACGTGTCAGTGAATGGTTACTCTTTGGCATGCCAGGGAATTGTGACCTATTTGACATGCCGGCCAATGATTACCCTTTAGACCAGCCAAGAAAAAAAAATGATTCGAAGTAATCAACTGGCGGATTGATTTTCTTCGCCTGAAAAAGCTCAAAAGTATTTTGACAAGGTAAAGGAGAAAAATGATCTGTATCGTTAATACATTGGCAAAATTTCAAAACATGATTCCCGGACAACAGACTTTATGCTTTTGGCAGCCATCGTTGTTTTGAGTTCTAACCAGACTCAGTACTTTCGACATCCATAAAAGCAAACATCGTAGCGATATGACAGAAATTTTTTTTATAGCTACGTTAAAAATCTCTCTCTCTCTCTCTCTCTCTCTCTCTCTCTCTCTCTCTCTCTCTCTCTCTCTCTCTCTCTCTCTCTCTCTCTCTCTCTCTCTCTCTCTCTCTCTCTCTCTCTCTCTCTATCTCTCTCTCTCTCACACACACACACATCCATACAATAAGATGGATCTGGCCGTTTCAGTTTCAACACGTACACAAAACACGAGATGATGCTAATACAAGACTATGATTCTACATGCCGTCAACATCACTGCTTACGGTCTTACATATTATTATACATGCCGTCAACATCACTACTTACGGTCTTTCATATGTTTCTATATGCCATGAACGCCACTGCTTACGGTCTTACATATATTTATATATGCCATGAACGCCACTTCTTACGGTATTACATATGATTCTACATGCCGTCAACGCCACTGCTTACGGTCTTACATATATTTTTATATGCCATGAACGCCACTGCTTACGGTCTTACATATGATTCTACATACCGTCAACACCACTGCTTATGACCCTAATATAGTTCTTCATGCCGTCAACGAGACTGCTTACGGTCTTACATATGATTCTACATGCCGTCAACGCCACTGTTTACGGTCTTACATATGATTCTACATCCCGTCAACACCACTGCTTATGGCCCTAATATAGTTCTTCATGCCGTCAACGAGACTGCTTGCGGTCTTACATATGATTTTACGTGCCGTTAACGCCACTGCTTACGGTCTTACATATGATTCTACATACCGTCAACACCACTGTTTGCAGTCTTAAATCAGTTTCTAACGTCTTCAATTTTTGGTATTGTTATTGTTCTACATTGTGCACATATACATTTATCGTCTCTGGAAATCAGTCTAGTTGTGGTGGTTAACTACCTAACGATCATCAAAGAAAGCAGTTTTTAATAATATGGCTTCCACTAGTTATACACAATTGGCAGGTTTCCCATAACGGAAAACTTAACAGTGTTATTGCCTCAACTATAAGAGACATGATTCCATTTTCCTCACACTAAACACAATATAATATAATATAATATAATATAATATAATATAATATAATATAATATAATATAATATAATATAATATAATATAATATAATATAATATAATATAATATAATATATTCAGCAATTAGGCCACCTGCCCATATTACAAAATCAG